AATGAAAAATCTTTATTCAGTATCTTTTACATAATAACATTACTAATAGCCGGAATCTTTTTTTAAGTATGAAACTTGAATTATCTATTCACTATTTGCTCACATTATTTTTAATTGTGATGTAGATTCGATTACTAGTTAATACCAGCATTAACTAATAGTCGAATAACTAATAAAACTGCATAAAATACTGTTGGAACACAGCTTTATTTTAAAGTTTTAAAATTTGTTTTCTATCTCCTTATTTAAATTATTAGTTATTCACTTCACGATTATATTAAATTTCAATCATAATAACTCTGCAATAAACTTTCTAAATTAATTCTCATCTAGAAATAAATCTCCATTCTTGAATGTTTCTCAACCATAGAACATCCCGCAACTTAGGAATTCTCGAAACTTCGACTTTATTTTACTTCAAATAATTGATTTAATCTTATTAAACTGTTAGCAAACCAGTGAAATCTCTTTTATTATTAGTAGGAGAGTTTATCTTATTTAGTTTTTAATTATATTCAGAAATGTTACCATTCAGTTACATACTTCAATTTGGATTAATATAAGAGAAGACGAACGAGTACAAGAAGAAAACAGCAAAGCAGCAGATCATCCCTTCTGGATTAACAAAGGTTTTTTTATATAATAAAGGTGACAACCGAGTACACAGTCCACCTGATATTAAGTGGATGCTGTCGCCCACAGACATCCAGGTACAATTATTCTTGATTAAGAATTACAATGCAGATGCGCTGTCACTCCTGAAGACTAAAATGTAATGCCTCGTTTCCAGTTAAAAGGGTCACCGGCTCTCTATATTCACCATACGAAGCATTAAGCTGCTAATTTATGCTAGTATGGTAGGGTTTAACGTTGACAGCATCTTACAGTTAAGTTTAGTTAAGATTTACACCTAAGGACGTAAGTTGGACCGAATAGCAGTGATTAAGTGATAATTGTAAAACATGTCTGTACGAAAGCGATATGTTCAAAGTTGTATGTTGACACATCATTTTCATATTTTACTACAGGAGAGATCAAATCTACGCTTAACAATATTAATACCGTACATTATACTACATAATACAAAAAAAAATTTACAAATAACAAATTTAAAATCTATGTGATGTGGGAATGAGTGTGTATGACTGTAAGCTCTTTTACTGTTCTTTTGAATATCCTTGATCTTGGGTCAAAAATATTCATGGATATCTCGTTGTAAACTCGACACATGTATTGAGGAACGTGTATATTGGTGGCGTATCGACATATTGTGTTTGGTTTGAGGGTATCTCTATTCTAATAAATAATATATATAAAAAGACGTGGGGCACTCGGGGACTGCCGCGGTAAAGCTATTGCATAGCATTTTTTATCAACTTATGCAATTATAACTAATTATTTATTTTATTTATGCAGTTAAGTCTTTGATATTAAATCAAGTTACACTTTTTGAGCGTGGTGACCGATAAGAAAACAATTTTTTTTCTCTTATTGTATAAATGAGAAGTTAATATTGTTTTAAATATTTTTAATATCTTACAATACATGTAGGTTATTCAGGAATTTTTATCATTCAGTTAGCAGCTAGTGTACACGCATACGACTAGTCGCACGCACACAAACACCGTGCCGAAGTCTGCCGAACTGAAACGACGTTAGACGATGCACGGCTTTCAACGCCACACCTCCGTGCCCGGAGTGGGGACCGTGAGGTTTTTTTCGTTACGGAATTTCTGGATTCGGTCCCCGCGCTCAAGGCCCGCGATAGAAGCTATGCAATAGCTTAATAATATAATTCTACTATTATTCTTGCTTATAATTTATTTTTCATTTAAAAAAAACGTTTCACTAGGATTTTCTCAAGTATAGCCGAGGCAGTTTACATAAATAAATTTCACAAGGACAAGCCTCCAGACCCGGAAAAATTATTTGTACGCCATACTTGTTCCGTTCGAGATTGGAGTCCGCCTCAGCGCTACAAATCTTTGCTAAGCCACTGCGCCACGGGACCGCCGTTTTCTCCCTGTGGACTAAGGTGTAATGCGTCGTTTTCAATAAAAATAGTCTCTGTCTCTCTACCCTCATCATGCGAAACACAGCAATATTAAACTGCTCTTTAACACTGTGAGAGCATGCTCCTTCCCTGCGACATCGATGTATAGCTGCATCATGCATCATGAGTCATGACTGAACCACATTTGGTGCAGTTATATCGTGTGATAAATATTAGACAAAAGTTGGAAGATAATAAAAGGAAACATCCATTTCCAAAATGACAATTTTAATAAATATTTCTTTTACACACAGATAAATATTAGAAAAATATAAATAAATATAAATAGTAATACAAAACTCAGTGCGTAAAGCAGCTTTATTTGAACTAAACTAATCTACCACGCACAGCGAAAAACTGGCAACATCGGAATGTTGATAAGAAAAAAAATTAGAAAACGTGATCACAGTTTTTGAAAAAAAGAAACAATGTTTTTTTTGGCCGAAATTCCTCTGGTCTTGAATTTGTTCATGGGCGTCGATGCTTAATTAGCATCAGGAGAGCTGCATGCTTCTGCCTACTGTTCTACAAATAAAACCTTTTATTAAACGAATATGATTACAATTGTTTAAACCCTCGTATATTTTTAATTTAAGCCATTGTGTATATTTCAAGGTTAGTATTGCAATTTATGATAAATTTGACAACAGTTTTCTAGATATGAACCAGTTTTTCAAAGTCACTCCGACTATATGATTATCGGCACTAAAATCTTACACAAATATGTATATTCGGTAATAATAATTTCAGATATCAAACATTACATTAATATACAAAAGTGTTATTTACAATTTTATAATTAAAAACTACAATAATAATCGGCAGTATAACTAGAAAAAATAAAAAAGTCACATATTTTACAAAAAATAAAATAACTTGCTATTTACATACAATATTCTTTTTTCTATTTAATAATAAATAATTTAAGAAAAATATCACTAGAAACGTTATTTGTCATACAAATAATTCAACAACAAAATATCAATCGTAGTTTTATGTTATATCATAAAATAATGTACACAAACGTACAAATTAAAATCAAATATTTGGTATTCCACAACACAAAATCTATTAATCGTATTACAAATTATACAGCCAACTGCATCAATAATAACATTGTAAAGTGTAGACATTCAAATATTATAGGACTTCGTTCCTGCAAAGGAGTCAGTCTGAGTAGATAAAAGTATGGAGAGTGCATTTGTTTAGCTGTGGCCGTTCGATGGGCTTGAATTAATGAATAAGGAAAATATCATCATCATCATCACTACAGCCCTTCACATGTCCCACTTCTGAACATGGGCATCCCCAAAGGAATGCCTCAAAGCAAGGTACTGAGTCACATGCACCCAGAAATAAAATATAACGACGTTGATTGACAAAACTATATTATATCATATTCTACGTGGTAGAGCCACGCTGCAGCTATATTATGGTTGTAGCACGAATGGGTCGGTTCGACCGGGGAAGGACCACGCTCTCACAGAATACAAGCGTAAAATAGCAGCTTATTACTGCTGTGTTTCGTATGGTGAGTGTAGAGATCCGAAGACCCTTTTTTACTGGAAACGAGGCATTCCATCGTATCCCTCAGGGTGACAGCGCATTTAAATTTTGATTCTTAATCAAGGATAAACGTAGATGTCTATGGACCACAGCATCTACTTACCATCAGGTGGATTGTGTGCTCGCTTGTCACCATTATTTAATTCAAAAAGAAAACATTCATCATTCCCTGTATTATTCCTTGTGTATTTTAGCTACATAATTATATTAAATTATAATACAAGGTGCATTCACCCCCGTCCAGCCCAGGTGTCCGACTTAGTGGGTACCACTCTCTTACGTATTTCTTACGACAAATAGCAGTACCCGCACTGCTGAGTTCCAAATAGAATGGTATAGGGAGCCAGCAGGATGGTCCTATAGTCGGCAACAGGTGACGTAGGAGTTAATATTCCATATAATAGTAAATGAAAACTGTCAATGATAGCCTGCAATTAGAGTTTAAAAAGGTAGAATGCGGTGCCACTTTCTTTTATAGCATTAGGTGACAAACGAACACAAAGTCCACCTGATGGGAAGTGAATGCTGTGGCCTATAGAAATCCACATTTATCCTCAATTAAGAACCAAACCGGTACACGGTAAAGTTTCTATAAACTTATGATTGTACCGTAACGTATCGTGTAATTAATGAATGTAATAATATATTTAAAAAAAATGTGTTGTCACCCCTGAGGACTAAGATGGAATGCCTTGAGTTCTGTGAAAAGGGTGTTTGTTCTCTACACTCACCATACGAAACACAGCAGCATTACGCCGCTATTTTACAGTGGTATTCTGTGAGAGCGTGGTCCTGCCCCGGTCAAGCTGACCCCTGCTGTCGGTCCAGGCGGACTCCTAGTTGAAAAATGAGTCAATTGACCAAGAAACTGGCGGTTTCTTTACTTTCTCTTATAATAAAAAATTGTAAGTTTATTTGACACTTCATTTGAAAAACAAACAATATTATGTGCCTGATGATGACCAGTAAGTGTCTACCCTCCACCTCCTTCTCAATGGCGTGCTCCAATAAATAAATGAAAAAATAACCGACAAACATAATAGAACTTTAGGCTGCAATTATTAAAAATCGTATATGATGTTACGAATGTTTAAATTAACATGAAATTATCAACAAAAAAAAGAATTACGATTATCTTTTTACATCAAAAAATAATTTAATTACTTTTTACACGACTCATTATACATCAAAAATTGGTATTACCTAAAGTTAAGTAATATAATTAAATAGAAAATTATTTGTATGTACAAAGAAATGAATATAATAAAGTTCTAGACAAACGCGGCAGAATTTCGGGCAGCTAATTTTAACAGCCCGAAGTATCTTTACACCTAAATAAGTACGCCACTGGATCACACTTTATTTTGTAAAAAAAAAACAACTAAGAATTACATGGGACCTGTGAATACCTCAGGCACATCCCAATATTATCCTCCGGGCTCCTCTTGAGTGTCGGCGGTCCGAAGTGCACTGACACTGCGAATGGTGTGATCGAGCTCTCAACCCTGCAGTTCCGGTGCTGCTCACCCGGGCAGAAGTTGTTGCCGCAGTGATGTGGGTCGCAAACGCCCGGGGTAAAGAACGACGACTTGAAACAGGGAAATTACTTCGATTATTTTAATGCAACTCCAAAGTCTAACAAATACAAATCCCAGAAAATATAAAATAATATTATTAAACAAAATTTGTATAAGAAATTTATAATATTAAGGAATTTATGGATGATAATAACCCCTGGTAATGAGGTGATCGCTACCAAGCTATTTCTAATTTGTTTTTTATTTATTATGGTCTCACAGTGTTTCTCACTAATTTTTCCCAGGACTGATCTTTTTTACCAAACCAGTGCAGTGGTAAATTTAAAATAATAGTGACTTTCAATAAGAGTTATTTATAATCTATATTGGATAAAAAAGTTTCTGTTTCTGTTTAACTTTCTTATAACTTATTCTGGGGAAACTGAAACGAGGATGGGCACCAGTATCTTTCCGTTTTAGTACAATACAATAATATAAATACGTTTAAATAACAAATAAAATATAGATGTGTTAGAAAAGTAAACATTTTCTACCGATTATGAGAGAAAAGATGTAAAACCACACAACACTCGGAATAATGTAACCATTGATAGTTCTATTCAAAAGTTGTGGTACTCGTAACTTAGGAGCCGAGTATTTCCTTTCAAATCCTCTCGAACAATATATAGTGCTACTACAATACACGTTACAGACGATCGAATGTCTTATTGTAGAAACCACAGAAATCGTAATAACATTGTCTTATTATTACTATTTCTGTGGTAGAAACCTTATTAGAAAAAAGAGCCATAGATTGCCTTACGGTGGCCATACGAGTATATGCCATAGTTGCCGCCCTGTGTAGGCGGGTTGACAACCGCGGTTTTTTTGTTGTATTTTTTTATAAAATAAGGGTAACAAACGAGCACACAGTCCATCTGATAGTAAGTGAATTCTGTGGCCCATAGAAACTTTCATTTATCCACGATTAAGAATCAAAATGCATGCGTGGTCACCCCTGAGGACTGAGATGGCATGCCTCGTTTTCAATAAAAAACGGTCTTCGGATTTCTACACTCACCATACGAAATATAGCAGTATCAAGCTGCTATTTTACGCAGGTATTCTGTGAGAGCGTGGTCCTTTCCCGGTCGAGACGACCATTCGTGCTACAACCATAACATAACCGCAGCGTGGCTCAACCACGTAAGAATTGCTTCCTTCTGTCGTTTCTGACGACACCCAATAGACATGTATGTATTGTACATTTTTACACCGCCACTACACGGGAACCATCTGGTAGCAACATTACACATTAATTTTTATTTATAATTTAGTCACGTGCTTTTGATTTTACATTTTTACAGGGTTTTTTTTCAGCTATAAAAATTGTAAGTGTAATAATTTTAATTTATACTCAGGATCAGACCCTGCTTCGTGCCATTTCTTGGGGGAGCCCTATGTTCAGCAGCTGGATTTGTGAAGGGCTGTAATGTAGATGATGATGAATTGAGAATAGAAAGTGTTTAACTTTCCGGTAAAAAGCTTTGACGTTTGATTTTTATTTTTTGTTTTATGCTCTTATAAACACTTAACTTATTTTTAATATTTATTAGAGTGAATGTATGAACATGCCTGATGACTACGCATTCTTGTCGTTGTTGTTGTTGTGAATACAAATCCGAGAAAAAAAACCGTTAAGCAATCTTTGCTTAACGTTTTTTTCTTTCTGGTTAAAAAATTCACTACCTTATTAACTCTCGGTGGAGCTGTATTCTCTTTATAGACTTCAGAAAAGGAGGAGGAAGTTCACAATCTGAATGTATGTTGTTTTATGTGTGTTACAAGATATCTTCGCCAATTGAGTCCCGATTTTGAAAATTATTTTTTAATTAAAATAGCTCATACAGAGGGAAACTAAAACAGCAGATGGGCAGCAGCATCTTATTGGTAACAGCTAAATAAAATAAAAAACTGCGGTTGCCAAACTTCCTGCCAATCGTGGCAACTATAGCAGCATCACTATGAGGCTATCTATGGGGAGGCTTATGTTCAGTATAGGACTTTTATAGGCTGTAATGGATACAATAGATAGTATACTGATGAGAATCACCAGCATAATTTCCTCTAGAATCTTCATAGCTCATGATCAAAGCCTTTATTAAAATTTACTACGTTTGTTATAAGCTTGTATATAGTTGTACATGTCAACTTAAATAAAGTGTTTCTTTCTTAGATAAAAAAAAATTGGCGAGAAGGACTCACCCCGACAAAATATTCATTCTCGCAAGGTATAGTAACTCTGTCGGCACATCTCAAGCGGCCGTGTCCCAGCAGCCCCACGCCGAAGTTCCCGTAGCCGTAGTAGCGCAGCGCATCGCTGGACCCCAGATGCTGCGTGTACGGAGACCAGCGACCCAGCGACCGCCCCCACTGACCCCACAGCCAAGACGGCCAGATAAAGCTCCAGATCTAGATTTGTTGGGGTTATTGTTAGACTAACTACGGGGTTCAAGACACTAAAATATAAAGCATTCATTTTATTATATGGAATCAGGGAATTGCAAGTGGTTACCGATGCATTAGATAGTATTACTGGATTGCATGTGGAGATATTGTTACCGTCATACGAAGAATATGAGACTCAATCATATACATATTCTTATAAAGTTAAATTAATTCATAGCTATGTAGTTTTAAGACAGTTCAAGACGATAGTAAGTATAAGTAGCGTATAAAGTAAGCACACATTGTTGCTTTAGCAGTTTATTACACACACTGAGTTTAATTTGAAAATAGGTGCATCATAAGTAATTCGCGCCACGGCGGTTCGATCCAGGCCAGCAAAGTGAAATGTATGATTTTTGGACCGGACCAATACAAATGCAGTTTATAACAATAAATCTATTATACTGGTATTGCAAAGATTAGAAAGCAAATAGGAGAAAATAGAAAAAGAAAGAGGATACTAACGACCATAAATGATTCTAAAACATATATTTCGTGTTGTTTTTTTTTTTTTTTGAGTGCAAAAGCAATCTTATCATCGAATGCTTATAATTTTCTGAATTTAGGTTTTAAATTTTACCAGCTAATGATTCAGTAGAATTCGGTTAAACATGCTTCGTGTGACGGTATATTCGTATTTAGTTTCATATATATGAATTCTTTGGGCCTGTTATGAAATATGAAAATCTTTGGGACTGTATTTTATTATAATATAATTAAGTCAGTTAAGTTAAAGATAATAACAATTACACAAACCTACTTTTTTAATTTAGGGTCGTTACGAGGACAGTATCAAACATTTAGTATGATGCAACATTCAATAAAATAAACATAAGGAAGCAATAAAATATTTCAATAAATTATAAATATCCTGGTGCCATTCTAATAATGAAAATTATAAAATTATTAAAATCGTGTTATTAAAAACAAAACTACAGTTAAAAGTAACTAGCTATCGACCAACAAATCTGTTTAAAATTGATTAATCCTCGCCCATTACACAACACAGTCTTTGTTTTTAAAATCCTGACGTTACAAGATTATATTATTTATAAACAAGCGTGGGAACTCTCGTTATATTATGGTTGCAGCACGAATATGTTGGCTCGACTGGGGTAGCACCACACTCTCAAAGAATAGCAGCGTAAAATAGCAGCTTAATACTGCTGTGTTTCGTATGGTGAGTGTAGAGATCAGTAAACCATTTTTACGGGAAACGAGGCATTCCAATTTAGTCGTCAGGGTAACACCGCATTTGAATTTTGGTTAATTGAGGATAAATGTAGATGTCTATGGGCCACGCTTTACTCACTTACCATCAGGTGGACTGTGTCACTCTTATTTTGTAATGAAAAAGAAGGGGAAGAAAGATTCTATAATACGCAGAATTGATAGATGTAATGCAGGTGGCTCAGACCCGCGCTTTGTGACAATCTATGGGAAGGTCTATGTTCAACAGCGGAGATATGATGGGGTGCTGTTGATTGAAGAGAATGGGAACTAGTACTAGGGCAGAGAGGAATTAAGTAGGTGGTTATTAAGTAAGTTAGTAAAATCTCAAAAGGTGATAACCAATTTATAGCTCTCTTGCTTGGAGATATTATTTGTGAACTATAGTAGTCCCTTCTCATAAAAATAATGGTGGGATCCTTACCCTGGATGCAAGCCCGGGTGCCGGCGTTGAAGCTGCAGGTTGAGGTTCGTCACCAGATCCCTCTAGCATGTCGTCTTGAGTTTCGCCCGGCAACAGCTCATCCATCTGCGGACTATCTGAGATTGGGCTAATTAACCAGGTCTTATCCATTGTAAGGATTATCTGCATCTCATTGGAACTGATTTCCGAAATTTTATATTCGGCAAATACGTGCACGTGATAGAGCCACATTGCAGTTATTATGGAAATAGAAATAGAAATAGAAACTTTTTTATTCAATGTAGATTATAAAAATACTTATTGAAAGTCACTTTTTTAATTTACCACTGGTTCGCAAAAAACACCTCTGTCCTGGGAAGAACCAGCAAGAAACCCAGCGGGACTATTTTTTTTTAATAATAGCTTACAATCATGTTTACAATCAACAACACAAGACAAATTAGAAATAGCTTGGTAGCGATCACCCTTCCCAGGGGTTATTATCATCTATAAATTCCTTAATATTATAATAACCCTTTTTATACAAACTTAGTTTAATAACATTTTTGAACTTTGTGTATGACAAATTTTGTATATTTTTTGGTATTTTGTTGTAAAAGCGTATACATCGCCCCAAGAATGAATAACTGACTCGGTTGGAGTCGAGTAACTGGTACTACCAGCTTGTGTCTGCTCCTAGTATTTACAGAATGAATATCACTTATTTTCGCAAAACTACTTTTATTTTTGTGTACGTACATTACATTTTCATAAATTTATTGAGAGGCCAGAGTTAATATATTATTGATTTCCTTAAATTTTTGTCTCAGTGACTCTTTTGGTTTTAAATTATATATTGCTCTAATGGCCCTCTTCTGTAAAATAAATATAATTTCAGTGTCAGTCGCGTATCCCCATAGCAAAATACCATACGACATAATGCTATGGAAATAACTAAAGTAAACTATTCTAGCTGTTTCAACACTGGTAAGAGTTCTAATCTTTTTTACAGCATATGCTGCAGAACTAAGTCTGCTAGCTAGTTTTGATATATGGGGGGAGCCATTGAAGCTTTGCGTCCAGTGTGATTCCAAGAAAAATGGTGGTATCAACAAGACTCAGTTCCTCCCCATTTAAAATTACATTAGTATTGACATATTTAACATTAGGAGTTACGAATTTCATACATTTAGTTTTAGTTCCATTCAAATGCAAATTATTAACATTAAACCAATTGACTAACTTAGCTATAGAATTATTTACTTCGTCGTAATTTAATAACTGTCGTTTTAATTTCAAAATTAATGAAGTGTCATCAGCAAATAATACTATATCATGGTTATCACCTACTATGTAAGGTAAGTCATTAATATATACAAGAAACAGAAAGGGGCCGAGAATTGAGCCCTGAGGCACGCCCATTTGTACAATCGACCCGGAAGAACTCATACTATTAATAACAACTTTTTGTGTTCTGTCACTTAAATATGAAATAATTAATTTTAAAGAGCATCATTTCTTACACGGTAGTGTTGAAGTTTCATGATTAATGTTTCATGGTGAACACAATCGAAGGCTGGATGGATAGGTCACAGAACACACCCAAAGCATCCTGTGAATTCTCCCATGCATTAAATATATATTTAATCAGCTCAACACCAGCATCAGTTGTCGAGCGACCCCTTGTGAAACCAAATTGATTTTTATGAAGTAATTTATTTATATTTAAAAAAAATAACAATTGATCAAGAATATTTTTTTCAAAAATTTTACTAAGTGTTGGCAGTACAGAAATAGGTCTAAAATTAGCGTGGTCCAATGTACTACCAGATTTAAACAAAGGTATTACTTAACTATGCTTCATTAAATCAGGAAACACACCAGATTTGATACTACTATTAAAAATAATAGATAGTTGAGGTGCGATTGTATCTATTATAGACGCAATAACTTTAACAGAAATCCCCCACAGATCGGCGGTTCTCTTAATATCAATATTCTTAAAATATTTTACAATATCTTTTGATGAAAATTTATGAAATGTAAAATTCTTTGTACACACATTTACATTTTGTTTAAGTAATGATTCGGCGACGGTAGGAGAAGAATTCAGTGACTTAGTGGTTAAGATCGGAATATCAGTAAAATATTTCTCAAAAACCATTGCAATGTCCTGATCTGATTTAGTTAATTGATTGTTAAAACTTAACTGGTAGTTTGAATTGCGAGAGTTGACCTTACCAGTTTGGTTGTACAACGAATACGGTTGCTCAACCGGGGAATAACCACACTCTTACTGAATGCCAGCGTAAAATAACAGCTTAACGCTGCTGTATTTCGTATGCTAAGTATAGAGACCCAGATACCCTAATTGCTGGAAATAAGGGATTTCATCTTAGTCCTCAAGGGTGACAATTACTACGCTGGTGACGCGAAATCACAAGATTTCCCCCTCCAAAAAACATTCAACGGCATATCATACGCGTTACGCGTCATGCTTATAGCTTAAGGTATACTGCTGTCTGATACCATCAGCTAACGCATGTCACTCACTTGAACTCATAATATTTTACCCTTCCAAAATGCATCCAACGGGCATATCGTACGCGCAACATAATATCGTCTTTATAGCTACAGATAAATCGTTAACATTGGCGTGAAAAACATAGCAAAACAAATAGTGATATACACTCTGTAAACACTAGGAACAAACACAAGCTATGCATACCAGTTTTTCGACTCCGCAGTCAGTAACTCATTCCTGGCGCAATGTATACGCTATAACAACAAAGTCCCCGAAAATATACAAGGTCTCTCTATTACTAATTATTTTATAGGATAAGGGTGATAAGCGAAAGCAATCAACCTGATGGTAAGTCGTTGCTGTGGCCCACAGAAATCTACATCTACCCTCGTTTGCGAATCAAAATGCAGATGCGTTATCAGCCGTAAGGACAAATTTATAATACCTTTTTTCCAATAAAAAGGGTCTCCGGTTCTCTACACTCACCATCACGCAGCATCAAGCTGCTATTTTACGCTGGTATTCTGTGAAAGCATGGTCCTTGCCCGGTCGAGCCCACTCATTGATGCTACAACTATACAATTAATACAGCTGCAGCATGGCTCTACCACGCTAAAATTTTAAGTAGTTTATTAAACAAAAACTGTATAAAAAATGTTATTATTCAAAGCTGTTTCTAATATAAATTTTGTTAATAGTTTGTACAAGCGTCCATATTGTAATATTAACTAAAAAAAGATACCGCTTGGTTTTTTGTTGGTTCTTCCCAGGATAGAGGCTTTTTTCCAAACCAGTGGTGTGGCGGCTTGGGATTATTTTTAAATTATATAGTGGACTGTATTGATATTCAATATCCCCTGAAACGTTCAGTTACCGCAATCACAAAATTACACCAAGAAAATAATAAAACTACTCACGGTCTTACTAGCCAGCTTTCCAAGATCGGCAAACGTTGACAGCTCCTGGTGGCTTCTTCTACACGGTAGAATACACTAGTAATTAGATTGTACTTGTTTGAAAATACACCCACCCCCCACACATTGTGCCTCGGTATAATATTTGCGAGTTGCGGTTTATTACTGAACACACCCCCCCCCGAAACCATCTTGATGGTTTCTCCAAAAGATAAGATAAAATTATAACTTAATCTAACTTAATCTCTATCAAGATAACGCTGAGACACAGAAAGGTCTCAACGAGAAGGTTATTAATACAAGTAAGCTAATTTGTCTCTGTTAAGTACTCTTTTGGGTGCGAAGCGTAACACAACGGACAATTCCATTCCAATTCTGGGCCGGGGTGAAGAGCCTCTATTCTACCCAAAGGCCAATTGCACGGCGGTATGTTATCAATAATTAATATGGTAGGTATGTTATTAAATAATTTGATTTTATTTCTGGTGTACTGGCCACTGCGAGTAGTCATCATACAACCAAGATGGGCCCTTTAGCCACTGCTCTTTGCACTTCAAGAGCTGTGACGGAGACGCTCCGCGCGAGCTGATGTCTGCCATATTGCACTCACTACTAACGTGATGCCAAAGGTGCGGAGGTAACCCTTCGCATACCTGAGTCACACAGTTACTAACAAACGGCTTTAATTTGTAAGCTTCTGTCTGAAGCCACGCCAATACGATAGCCGAATCGGTTAACGCAGTGATACGATTAATTTTTACACGAGTTAAAATGTCACGGACATATTTAATTAATCTGCTTAACAAAACTGACGCCATCAATTCCAACCTCGGGATAGTTAAGGGTTTGACGGGGGCTACTTTAGATCTTGCTATCACCAAGCGTACTTTAGTCTGACTTCTGTCGTTACGACTGATCACATATACACAACTAGCGTAACTGCGAGAACTTGCATCGCAAAAGGCGACAAGTTCACATTCAGACTGTTCTGGTAACAGTATGTGTCTATCTATCTTAATTTCCGTCAGTCGCGGGAGATCATCAACGTTGGTGGAGCCACGTGTTTAAGGCTGCCGAAAATCTAGTTCCCCGGTCAAACCTCAAACCTATTACGCGAGATATTAACTAAAGTGGACTGTATTTGCGATTGCTTCTACGCTTACGTAAAGCGACTACTATAGCATGCGGTACAATGCACTCGCTCTTCCCTAAACTAAACTATTACTTGCCAAATCGATGAAAGGAATCCTGCCTGATGAGGAGAACACAGAATTGGAACGGTTAAAACAATTATTAAATATTAATCAGGCAGTAAATTAAGGAATATTGACTCACCGGGGTTTCTTCTATCCTGTCGATCACTATAGCGACTTCTGGAACACTCCGGAGAGAGGCGGTGCGCGACGATATCTCACACGAGGTGAGGCGGGTTCCTGGAGCTCGACTGCTTCCAGGCCAAAGCGGTTTCCACTAGTGAGGTGTTTCCAATCGAGCGCGCGGGAAGAGAGAGAGCGCGCGTCGGACGCGCGTGTCTTATATATCCTCGGCTCCGATGATTACGCGATGTTCTAGAATCGTCTTCTTTCCCCTCCCACCCCATCACCCCGATGTGTCGATAGGAGGGTACGAATGATATCGTTTTGGAAAGGAATAATGATTCAGCAAGTTCCTACCGTCATAAATAAAAAACGCGAATGGT